CACAACACTCACAAGTACGTGCAAGTGCATGCACACAGGCACAAGCAGGCGAAACCCTTTGGACGGTGTGTCTGGCCACATCTCATCAAACCGTAGGAATCTGCCTTGTCCAGCCCGCCATTGGGGGGGGGAGGGCGTGGTGCTCAGAAAAGTCGAGAGAACGGGGCTTGAAATTAAGTCTCCCCTGCTGGACGCTCGGCCAGTAATGACAAGGACCAAAGTCTCCCTTACGCAGGCAGCCTCCAGGCCAGGAAGCTCAGTGGTTCCTCGGGGGTGGCCTTCTCCAGAGTGGCACCAGCATGCAGCAAGCTACTCAGACTCCCGGGTAAAGGAGGGAGCAGATCTCCCAGGGGCTCTGGTGGCCACCTCAAGTCTGCGTCCTTCAATCCACCGGAAATAGAGTATTTTCTAGGGGCCAACTAGATCTTGTGTGTTCTCCTCGGGTCTGAGCAGGCTTTGTGGGAGGGCTTGGAAGGGTGCTGCAAGGTCCTGGACCAGAGGCCCACCTGGCCACAGGACAATTCTGCCATGGGAGAGAAGGGAGCCGGAGAGAAGGCTGTTTGGTGGAGGATGCCATGCACTCCAAGAAAGTACCATTCGGGAGACCAGGCGACAATAGAGGGTCAACGGAGCCGACGGGGTCTAAGGAGACTGATGGGCTCAGGTTCCGCCAGAAATCGGCCCAGCTCGGCTCCCCTGGCCCCTACAGTACCAGCTCTGGACTCAGTCCATTGGCTGCTGGAGAGCCTGAGATTCCATCGCTACCCCGAGTCACCTCTAAAAGTTTGTCCTCAAGCAAAAGGCTCCCGCCTGCAGCCCCAGGGGAGGCTCTAAAGACAGCGTGACTGCCCCCTCCACTCCTTCAGAAACAATGGGCAGACAGCCGACAACGGAGAACCAGGGAAGCAAGTGTGGAAAATCCCCCAATTTTACAATGTCAACTGCTGAAACGAGGGAGCAGCCGGAGGCTGTGCCCCCGCGTGTCCGCCCGCGGGACTGCACTCCCGGGGATGGGGGGGGGGATTGATCTCCTGGTTCTCAGACTATGAGGACGCATGGTGGGTAGGGAATTATGTTAGCTTGCTAAAGAAGAAAATCTTTTTTTTTTTAACGTTTTATAAAATCTTTATTGACAAATAATTCACATAATATATAATTTGCCCGTTTGCACAGTTCAATAGACTTTAGTCCAGCATCCTCATTAGGCCCATGACACCATCACCACTTTCTATTTTAGAACATCGCCGTAAAGACGAAATCTTAATCGTTTCTCCAACAGAAGTACGGTAACCTGTTTTCACCGGGTCATCACAACCCACCACCTCTAGCCTTGTCCTTTTCTTTTTCGTCCATATTAGCTCAGAGCTCTGAAGTAAGCCTTCAGAGGACAAAGTAGTATCTGAAACACTGAGGCTGGACACCGCCTCCAGCAAACACTCGGGGCGGCTTCTTCTGTCCCGTGTGCTCTCCTGGGGGCTATGGGGAACCCTGGCTACCAGGGAGAGAAAGGAAACAGCTACTAGGACCCTTCCTGAGTGCCAGGTGACAGCTGGGCCTCGTCGATCTCCCTGGCAATCCAGGGCAAACTTTCCGTGTCACATCTCTGCCAGCTTTTCAGGGCAAAGAGCCTGGTAAAGCCTGGCTAGTCAAAAGCCTCACTCCTTAAGACCTGGGGGACTTGATTTCGGGGCAGTTCACATGATTGCATGATTGCCTCGGGACTATCAAGAGGGACTCCTGGGCTTAAAGAGGACAACAGCGTACTAAAACTTGCCTTGTAAGAAAGAGCTTCCTGGCCCTCTCTCTTCGCCCATTCTGGCAAAAATGAAGTCTGAATCAATAGCCTCTCTAGATGAGATGCTGTCGATCCTTGAGCCAGAGTGCCATGGCTACCACTGCGGTTTGTCACAGGGACACCACCCACTGCCTCCCTACCCATACCAGACTCTTCTGCCTTCACGGGGCTTCCGTTTTCCCACTGGCCCAGGCAAGCAGAGGTGGTTTTCCCTTGAACGCTCTGGGGCCACTTGGCGACAGGTACCATTGGGGTGGTCCTCTCGACCCACAGTGCTTCCACCTCTGGCCCCGGGGAACAGAGATGAACACAGGCCGGGCAAGGGCAGAGCTCTGGAAGGAGTTTCACCTGGTCAGGGAACAGAGTGAGAAGTTTGTCTGGCTCTGGAGTGCCCCCCTCTCCCCTCACCCGCCCCCGGACCTGTTTTTTTTTCTTTTATAGAATGGTTATTATAGCCTGTGCTTACAAACGCTTGCTGGTGGGGTTGGAAATAATGTATGTGTTGTGCCTGGCACCGGAGCAGCCCTATTTAGGATTTGCCTCTTGGCCGAGCCTTAGCAGCTGGGCTAAATAAATAAATAAATAAATAAATAAATAAAACATCGGATGCGTTAGCTTGCCGCAATGCCCTGTAAGTCTGGACTTCTATGTCAACCAAGTGCCATGCAGGAACACCACCCTGGTCAGCTACAAAAAGGCAGCTCCCTCAGCACACTGCTGTGTCCCTGCCCATAACCAGAATAAATCATTACTGGTACAAGCTGACCTCAGGTTTTCCCTGGGCCCAGGACAGTTCCCACTTGTAC